GAAACGCCTCGATAGTACTCTTGAGTTTTCTTCCAGGAACGAACAAGTCACGTTCATTATTTTAATCATTTCTGATCAAGGCAAGCGCAAAATAAAGGGGCGAGGCCTGGTTGAGTTGCATTAATAGTGTGTTGAAAACACTCTTTAAACGTTTGACCAATCACGGCACACTGCTCCAGCTGACCAATCAGAGCACATTAGCTTTTCAGAAGGAGGGGCTTCATAGAGACAGAAACAGGGCTGCGTTTCCCAAAAGGATTGTTAGCCAACTATGGTCACAAGTTTCGTCGTTATCAGCATAGTTCAACGAGTCGATGTTTCCCGAAACCATCGTTTCCAACGAACATTCGCAAACAGCATCGCAAAGTTGTGTGGTTTGAACGACAGCTCTCGACCTGTGGTTAGAGGCATCGTTTCTATATTGCATGACATTTGGACGTAATAAATCCTTATCTTGAGCAAAATAAGCAAGCTGACATTCAGTGCATCCGGTGCCTTTTATTTAGAATACATACAAATGTAATTTACGTCTTTTAGTTTGTCAAAAGATTTAAAGTACCGTGTTTGAAGAGTGCGCATGTGCGAACGTGCTCTACTATGTAAGAACGAGCCAAATATTGGGTCTGGTAATAAAGCAAAATAACTGAAAACAATTAGAAATAGTCCTCAGATGACATGTCTGTGATTTATATAAAAAAAAAATCTAGAGGTAATTGGATCTCAAACAGTTTCATTAAAAGTAGTTATTATTCCACCATGTGTGAAACCAACGTGGTTGAACGATACTTTGCAACTGTGGGTTTCGGGAAACAGTCGCGACTAGCTAGTTGATTTCTCCAACGTTGAATCGTACTATGGTAGTAAAGCAGTGAACTACGTTGTTGTATGGGAAACGCACCCCAGGGGAGTATTTCCCATGAGCATTGTTAGCCAACTATTGTTGGAAGTTATGTCGTTTTCAGCAGTTCAACGAGTTTGTGTTTCCCGAAACCTTAGTTCCAACAAACAATCGCTATTTGATTGAATTCGATCTTGATGTTATTACTCCACCAAGTGGGTGACATCATTAACCAATGTGGTTGAACGACCAATTTGCGACAATACGGTTTCGGGAAAACAGTTGTGACTAGCTAGTCGATTTCTTCAATGATGCATCATACTATGGTAGAGAAGCAGCGAGTTACGTCATTGTACGATAAACAAACCCCAGAACGATACTGACAGACATTGAAGAGAAGAGTTGCAGCAATGTAAAATATGTTAAAAAAAAAAAAAAAAACGTTTTTTTTTCAACATTCAAGCAGGAAAACCTAGGCTGAGTCTGAAATCTCATACTATGTGAGTAGGTACTATATTTAAATAAGAACGTACTTTGAGACCGTTAAAAAAGTACGTTCTATATAGTATGAATATGGGTAGAATGAATGAGTCCGGACGTACTACATGCGCCATGTTGTTGTCGCGTGACATACGCTGTCACAACAGGGAGAAAATTTAAAGAGCCCATTCCAATGACTGCACCTGAACTACAGCCAAGTTTCCGCCATTTTCAAATATAACGACAACAACTCCTCCCCCGTGGCATCGTGGAATAGTAATGTGTCCATCGTATGCGCACTTCTGAATCTCGCCGGAAGTAGTAGGTCATCTGGGTACTTTTCGCCTTCTGTTTTTCGAATTCTATGATTTTGGACATACTACTCTGCTCACGTACTGTTTTTCACATACTATATAGTAGGGAAGTATTCGATTTCGGATGCAGCAATAGTCTAAGGGCCAATCCCAATTCTACCCCTTACCCCTTCCCTTTCCCCTAGCCCTACCCCTTCGCCTTCCCCTTGACCCTTGAAACAGAGTGGCAATGCGTAGGGGTGAAAATATTCCCCTAAGAAATGGGACACCACTACGCCTCCGTTAAACGTCATTATAAGTCGTCGCTAGCGCCTACGTCACAGGAGATGCGCCGATGTTTATCACAACTTCCAAGATCCCGTCGACAGCTGCAGTTATCTCAGTCGCGTGGGTTACAGCTATTTTCTTGCATCTTGTGAAGTTCGCAGGAAACAATGGAGACGACGAAAATATGTTGCGGGACTATCGTTAGCAAACTACAGTAATTTTAGCGATTTTTTTACAAACGTTTCTGTGAAGAAACTGACCGTAAATATGAACACAATATTGAATGTAACATAAAGCAAATCATTATTTGTCGTTATAATACTTATTAAAGCCACAAATACTTAAATTTATGGGTCTCCTTTGTGGCTTGGGCAGCCAGCCTGGGTTAGCAGTGACACTTCTCATACCCCTTCGTTTGAAGTGTGCTCCCGAAAAATCTTCATTTGAAGGGCTATCTGGCCCTTCACCCTAGCCCTCCCCCTCCAACCAAAAGAGAATTGGGACAGCCCTACCCCTTCACGTGGACGCGCAAAACGGAGGGGAAGGGGAAAGTGAAGGGGTAAGGGGTAGAATTGGGATTGGCCCTAATAGTCCCCCAAAACAAGACTTTGTAAAAGGGCATAATATCGCATCTTAACCTTTGATAAAACCTCTCAAGATCTCTGTAAGAATGTTTTAAAATCACATCCAAATATTGGTAAGATTTTACACACCAAACCAGGAACCAGTTTTCCTTCCTTTTATAGGGGGTGTATGTAGGTGTGTTAATATTTCAGTTGGGATCAGTGCTTCATTCATCATTAGGCAGGTAGAGATGAGTGTGCAACATCAGTCTTCCTAGAGTCAGAGAAACAAGCCTCTGGCTCCCGGAGCCCTTCATTAATGATTCATCCTGATGAGCTCATGTCTCCTCCAGACAGGTACCATCGAGCGATACCTTACTTTCGAGGCCATTCGGATTTTGGAAGTCCAAATTTTCAAAAAAGAAATCAAGGTGCTACTTTGTTTCATGTGATAAGTATTTGGGCAAGTCTTTTATTTGCATGTATTTTGTTTGAAATCATTGAGAAATGATTGGGAATATCATTCAATTCATTTTAAGTTGTGTAATACTGTATGTTGCATTGCAAGTTAATTTAGGTGTAGACAGATAAACAGAAAGAGAATGAAAGAGCTGAAATGTTTAAAGCACCAGCATTATTTTATGCTTTTAGTCGCAATGACAGAAATGAAAGATAAAAAAGGATCTAGTTTGCGTGTCAGACCTCGTTTTACTTCGGTTCGGATCAGTTCATCACAGTTTTGCTGTGATGAGTGACAATATAAAAAACATCTTGTATATCTGGAAATGACACAACACAGATACTTAGATGTGGATCATTCATGATGTTCATGGGTATGCAATGCAACCCCGCTGTTTAAAAAACACATTCAAAAGCATTGCTACTCTCACACATCAGGAAGCTTTATGGGATTAAAGGGACACACACACAAACTCACTCATACTCTGTCATAAACAAAACAAAATTACACTATAAAAGCATATAAACCATGTTCCCATGAGATGCATACCAGCGAAAGAGTGACTGCAGCAGCAGCAGGCAGGGACGGCGAGATGAGAAACGGAGAGAGAGAGAGCGAAAGAAAGAGAAAGAAACTGAAGAATAAGGCCACATTCACACAGTAGTGGAATACACTTGTCAGTCCTGTTTGGAGTGGTAATTAAGTACAGTTACACTATACATATAGGAAGGCAGAAAAGGATAGCTGTCAAGGTTATGATTTTAATATGATGCAAAATGTAATCTTTCATTCTGCTTTCTACAGTCAGAAATGCAAAGATAACTCACAATTATTTTATTCTATTGACAATAATTATGGAGGCTTTTCCACTATGCAAAAAAATAAATGAAAAAAATAAAATAAAATAAAAAAAAACAATTTTTTTTTTTTAACTTTCAAAAATCGACTTTATAACTTCTGAGAAAAAAATGTCTGAATTGTGGCTGAAACAAGCTTCCATTGAGTTATATATTTAGACTTTAGGAAGGAAAAAAAAAAACTATTTAGCATATACAGTAGTTTTATGAATTATCAGGTTTAGGTTTTCATTAGGTTTTTATACTAGCCAAAAGCTGCATTTATTTGATGAAAAATACATTAAAAACAGTAATATTATGAAATTATTACAAATTTGTAATAGCTGTTTTCTGTTTTTATATATTTTAAAAATGTGATTTATTCATGTGATCATTTTCTGGATTTGATGCATAAAACGTTTTTTTTTTTTTTGTAACACTGTAGAAGTCTTTACAGTCACTTTTGATCAATTAAAGTCACCCTTGATGTCAAAAATTATTAATTTATAAAAATAAAATAAAATAAATAAATAAAATAAAAACTTTTGAATGGTATATATATATATATATATATATATATATATATATATATAAATTAAAATTGTAAAAAACAACAAAAAAAGTTAATTTAAATATGCTACTTAACGGAAGCTTAAAGAAAGTTTCCAAATATTTTAATAATTAGATTTTACTTTATAAAACCCAATTATCAATTATTTTTAAATATTTATAATATCACTCTTAATATTTATCTCCCTTTATAATTTAGAAAGGGATTCCCCCGCAAGTGGACCATCATATTTAAGGGTCCTAGGCATCATGAAAATGGCTGAAATGTCCTTGTACAGAATGGAAAAAAAAAGTATTTACTATCATTAAACTATGGTTACCATGTCACTTGGGTTAAAAACATAAATCAAGATCTCATTCGTGGACAAATCTCATAGAGGACTGAATCCAGATCTGTAATAGTACAATCAGGACAAATCAAGAATCACACCTTTTAGTACACTGACTGTGTGTGAATGCAGTCAAAGAAAGATAGAGAGTAGAAAAAGTGTAAAGTATAAAGAGAAAGAGCACCACAACACAAGGCCACGATGCGTGGGTCTATGTAATGGTGGTGAGGACGGGTGAAGGCGTGCTGACGTGACGTCATGGTTGGAGCAGGCCGACACGAAGAAGAGGGGGAATAAAAGAGGACAGATACCTACCCTGACCTGCCGCTATCTAGCTACCGACCTGAGGACTGTCCGTCTCTGAGCTCTCAGGCTCTGCTTGAGGCTCACTCGCACCCGGAGACTGCTGGGAGTCTCCAGCCTGGAAAAAGAGAGAGAAGCATAGAAGGAGAAGGGGAAAGGAATAGATTTGGGGAAAAGAAAGAGGAAAAGTGACAGGAAATAAGCTTGTATAAAGCAGCAGGAAAGAAGAAATCCATAGTAAATCAAATAGTTCACATATTTTTTTCTTGCAACGGTAAGAACGGACACATGCTGTAAATGTGTAAAAAAGTAACCATCCATCCGTCCATCCATCTATTCAATACATTTATTATTCCACCCACACACTGATGTATTCAAAAGTTCCCGCACACATGTGCCCATTACCGGAGCAGTGAAAACCCTACTGTTAAAAAGGGTCCTGTATTGTACTACCGCATAAAAGACTTTAGACTAAAGCATTTTGGATTTTTATGAACATTCCCTCTATGGCTGCACTCGTAACACCTCGTGGCGGTGTGTGTGGGTGTGTAGTGAGTAAGTGATTTAGGAGCCCAATGCCATTTCAGTAGAGAGACACACACACAAGGACTAATTAAACTTTTTGTTCAGCTTAAATATAAAAGAAAGGAGAAAGAGCACTAGCCAGGTTTCCATGGCATTTTCTGATGAGTCATATCTGATAGAGATCAGGACAGACACAGAGAGAGAGAGAGAGAGAGAGAGAGAGAGAGAGAGAGAGAGAGGTGTGTGTGTGTGAGTGTTTATGAAATACAGTGGAACACTGATGTGTATATATGTTCATAGTTCACCCAAAATTACATTTTTGTCATAATTCAGTCATAGCCTATATGATGTCTTCTGAAGCAGATATAAGTGAAAAACATATTGAAATGTATTATTCATAATGCTACTGTGCCTCAATCACTGATTTGAACTTGATAACTTTAGTCCAATCCATGAATTAATAATTTAAACCAGTTTTGTGAACTGCAAAAAAGACTGATGTCCATGAACTGCAAATAATGAACTCTAATGAAGATTTTAATTGCTTTATAACACAAATCTAACATGGTTTCCATGCTAACACTCTGAATACAGCAGACAGGCTATATAAACCATTTTATGATGCTTTTATATCCTTTTCACACCTCTGAATAGGATACAATCTAAAGCTAGTAGTGAGAGTGAGCAGTACATTATTAAACTGTTTTTCCTTTTGTTTTCCATGGAAGTAAGAAAGTAAGTCGTTTGAGTTTGGAACAACACAAGGTGAGTAAAGGATGTCAGAATTTTTGTTTTACGTCATTAGTCTAAAAAGTGGTGGTCGTTTGGATAATACCTTTATTTAAAGGTGTTATATTCCTTATGAGGAAATAACTGACTTGACTTGATGAGATATAAATATTAAAGTCAGTAGGGGAGAATCAGGCTCTATTCTAATACTCCAGTTTTCATAAGGATATGCAATATGTATTTTTATTTTAACAATATTAATCATGTAAGTCTGCAAGGATTCATAAAGTCAGTTCTGACAGGAGTACAAAATTCTGATTCTGATTGTATTTTGTTTAAAAAAAAAAAGCACATGTGGGATTAAATCTGATATTGTTGAAAAACTACATTTCCCACAATCCGCAGTACTTACAGCATCCTCCTCCCCGCTCCGACTAGGGCTGCCCTCTGCCTCACCAAAAGAGTCATCGGTGGGCGGGTCACTAGCGTGGGACGAGGACTTTGACGGAGAACTCTGCCGGGGGGCCGGGGTGGGTGCTGTAGAGAGAAAAGGCCAGAGTTATGGTTAGTAACAGAGTAAATCTAACATTTGTTTATAGCACTATATAAAGCGTCTGATGTGTCGTTGGGCGACGCTAAGAAGGTACAAGTATGTTTTTCACCCGCTGGGATGAATATCTACCAGAACTAAATATCTGTTCCAATTTTACAGGAAGGGAGCTGAAATTTTCACACTTACATTAAAGACAAGGCCCATTTGTGATCAATTATACATGAAAACAATGTTTCTATTTAGGCTCATGCAACCTTAAACTGCTTCAGCGAGCCGTTTGCTCTCAAAGCTCAGTGATGGGTGTTGCATTCAGCCAAGGAAATTTGTGAAGCGTTAAAGGGATAGTTCACTTTGAAATTAATTTTTGATATGTTTTAGCTTAACTTTCGTTTTCTCACACAAACCACTCGTTTCGTGTCTTAGGCCATCAATGTGTACTTACATTTACGAGTCATTAAATCATGTTTAATTTTGACTTCTCTGTGCATTCTTTTTGGCAGACCCCCTTAGCCTCCAGTGTATGACTGATAGACAGTTTGACTGAAAAATGTCACAATTGAACAGCTAAAACATATCAAAAATTATTTTCAACTATCCCTTTAATTCTCATTTTAAGTTTACTATGGGACTTTTTCTACTTGGTCTCAAGAGAAAAAAACATGACCGCTGATAACTATGTATCCAACTTATTTTTCAACACGTACTGTAAGATATGTCCTGTAAATTCATTAGCTAAAATAACTGGAAGCGGCTAACGCTGGAAGTCTTACTCATTCAAATTAAATAACCTAACCCAGTCTTATGTTAAAAATAAAACAGATATGCTTTTCCAAAAGCTAAAATGCATTAGTGCAGCTAAAATTGTTGCAGTTTTCATTTGAAATGTCTACATGGTGGCACTAAAAGCACTATGACTTTTACTCTCATTGAAAGTCTGTATCTTCCACTAAACCATCAAAAAGCTTTTGAAGACTTGGAACACAGCTTTAATTTTATGTGAAACACTGTACTAAAAAATATTTTGTAGTTCTTTTTTAGCTCTAGCATGTTGCTAGCAATGAGCCCGGCTCAACGGGAACCCACAAACTCACAGAATTTATATTCAAAGTGCTTCAAGTGTTTTAAACACATCAGAAAATGCTATGATCTCATCGGAGGTTGCGTTTTGGATTTGACAAAATCAAACAGGCACCTCGTTGTTAAGAGACGCATGACGCATGTTCTAAAATCAGCTCAAAATATCAAAGAAGTTTGATCTCGTCTGACAGGGTGGAATGAAGCCAAAAGCCTGAAGCTTAAAAAAAAATGAAGTCTATGTCTACCATTACGCACACTACGCAATTTTAGAGACTTTTGGCTCATGTAACCGCATTTCCCCAAAAATCATCCCGACAAGCCTAAAATATAAACACTTATAAGGCCCTATCTTGCACCCGGTTAGCTAGTGACTTCGTACACTACTGAATGTATAATTCCTATTTTGCACCCGCGCTGTAACGATCACCAGAGGGCACTCCACATCAGACTGATCACTTCACAAAACTACATTACCCATCATACACCTCCATGGACAGATTACACCATACACCTGCACTTCATTTACACACACACTACTTCTCTGCGAAGTATTGCATTGCCCCGGTTTTCTATCGTCCTGATCTCTATTCTCGTCTGCCTGTTTCCTGTATTACTTACCTCTGCCTGGATACCGACTCCCGTCTGCTCGCCGCCTGCCTCGACCATTGCCTACTGACTATCCCTAGATTTCCTCTGATACTGCTGTTTGCCTGTGATATTGATCTTTGCCTGTTCGTCTCTGCTTCCTAATAAACACGTTCCATTTGGATCCATAACACGTGATTCATAACACGCGCTTTTCCCTACACAGACGCACGTTGGTAAAGCAGGGAATGAACTTGCGCTCCCTGGGCGGGTCGGTGCAAAAAAAAAAAAAAGGCGTGTTTCAGCGCAAACAATCCCAAGTGCTGTTTTGCAGTTCCAGAAAACAATTCCGCCACTGCATTGTTCATAGCGCGTTGTTCGCGCATGGCCATTATGTAGCGGGTGCACAAAGCGCATACACTTTGATTCTCTCATCAACACAGATGCAGCAGTTTTTATTTTTGCAAATTATATATTGTAACAAGGAAAAATATTAACACATGAGGGAAATCATTGTGGTGTCCACGAAGATGTAATAAATGTAGGCCTAAATCTAGCTTACACATTTACCAACATTTTCAGGCTATAATTGTAGTAATGACGGATCAGATTTGTTTGCCCTGTAGTGGCAAGACACATGTGTATATAAGGACATCTGAAAAATTAGTTTGTCCGTCAAGAACCAGGAAAAAAAAAACTCCTATCCCCATACAACGTCACTTCTGTCTTTCACGGCCCTAACAAGAACGTCGATCTCTTCGGGTGTGAACGCTCCTTGCGCGCGCCGGGTAAATTCGCCATAATAATAACAATTCGCCAAGCAACATAAGCACATCTCTTAAAGGGTATGTTGGATGACGCTCTGATTGGTTTATTTCACGTTACGCCCAAACCACACCGATGAATAATGAAGCTACTTCAGACCAACCCCTTTTAAACTTGCATCCGGCGCAAGAGTCATTTATCGAGCCAGTAAAATAGCAACAGCGCCCAAGACCCGCCCACAAAGTTACTTGCGTTTCAGATTATTAAAATAGGGCCCTTAATAGGCTTATCATAGTGAATCAGGGTAAGACGAAAACACACTTTGGAAGAAGGAATGCTTATGTTTTGTATAAAATGTTGAACAAAAAAAAAGTTACATAGTGTACCTTTAGACTTGAAAATCACTATTTGCACCATTCAGTGGATATTTGGTCTCGAAACTGGAACAATTTGTACCTAGGGGAATGCATTTTGTGTTTTGCACGTACTAGTCATGATTAGTTTGACTAAATGTATGCATTTAAGCCAAAAACTTGTCAGAAAGGGTCCTATGTGGATCAAAATCCCTTATTGACACCTAATAAATGAGTATGTCTCTCACAGACGGCCTGCCGGTGCGCAAACGTGGAACGGTGTGGCATTCCATCCCAGCAATAATTAGCACTACAGGAGCGAGATGATCCAAACAGGCCCAGCACACAGCACAAGGCTCCCTAGAGATCAGTGATAATTACACTGTTCGCCAGAAGCACAGCTGGGCCTGTGACTGACTCTCTCTTTCCCTATGCCGTCGTTCCCCACCGCAGTACTAATTGTCATTTTCACGCTGACTAAAGACAATGCCTTCTGGGCAACAGCATCAAAGCCCACCTTTCAACCTCTGAGTGAAAAAGGATGTGTTGATGAAAGACGGGATGAGGTGCGAGTTTAAAGTTCTGTAGTAGGAAACGGATAAAGCCTTTCTAGCCATGTCAGCACTCTTAAGGGCTTGCGATGAGAGAGGCGAGAGTGAGAGAAAGGCGTGTGGTGAGATACCAAGTTCTTCTATGTGAGATTTGTTTTCTTTGTTGGTGTATTCAGGGTTTATGGTGCTAAAGAATGATGTGATTCTATTGGTCCTGAAACAACATCCCTGATATAAAACCATATCCCTATACTGATCCCTAAACCTAACCTAACTGTGACCAACCTCTTAAATCAAGAGTGAAATATTATGAAAAAGTATAAATAATAGATAAAGTATAAAAAAAATAAGTATAAATAAATTCACATAATTCTAAAACATTGGAAGGTCTAATATGTTTGCATATGTGACATCATTTTGAGTCACTTGACCTAGAAACACATTTTGTGAAGCAAAAAGGAAAATTGCAGGTAATTATGATGTTTTCAAACCAGTGCAAAACTATAATAATTTAAATGTTGAAAAAAAGCGGAAGCTGCTAACCCTCCTTAAATGAATACTATAATGTAATAAATAATTAAGACATCAGTGAAAGGTCGATTGACGTCCCGTGGCTGTGGAGGCATTCCTGTGCTCAACCAATAGAGCAAGATGTTAACAATGTCAAGGTCTTGGGTTTAAGTAATGCATGAACTAACAAAATGTAATTTAATGTCGTGTTACACATTTTTTCATAAAAGGATCTATAGCGCATATACAGTATAATATCAAAATATTATATTAATACAATATATACAACAATTCTTTCTGGTTTTCCAATCTGATTGGTGCCGAGACGTGCGGTATTCCCACAATATCAGCACTGGATGTTTGTATCATTCTGCTTACTGCGGCTGTCTACGGCCGAGCAAATCCACCATATAAAAAAAATTTAAAAAAAAAATAAAAAAAACTGTTGTTGTGTCACAAAATGTAGATATAAGAGTTTTTGAAATGTAGTTACTTAGACCTCAAATATGTGACTATATATAAACATACCACCTGATTTAAAATTTGTTTTAAAGGCTTTGAGGCTTTTTAAAGGCGCTTTGCCAGGCTATCTGTGGCCGTTCAGCACTGATGTATCCGCAAAAAAAACAACAGATTAATCTCGGCCAATCCTTTGGGAATTTGCCGCTGGCTCTTACAGTATTTAAATAATGGTTAAACATGAGATATACTTCATTTGGGGTATATCAAATGGGCAATCTTTGGTCTAATTTATTACTTGTTCCAGAGCAAACTGATTTGGGTTAAGGGGAAAATTAAATTTCTAAACTTAATATTTTGGCTACATTTGCATATGCAGTGTGATATTGCTCATATATATATATATATATATGTATGTATATATTTAAGAGTAATATAAATCTATAGATTTTAAAATCAAGTCACGCCCTATATTTATGCTACTTTGAGAAGCTATACACCTTATTCAGAGCAGCGCCATGACAGGTATGAAAGTGAGGCTGTGAGGGATAGACTTACCGTGTTTCCAACGGCATCCGCTGTAAAAAGCTGAATAAAACTGCTAGATACTTACAATTTTCCACAGCTTACATTGTCGGGAGTTTTTTGTCAACTGAAATTTCTTGGAAAGATATTTTTTCAGTGTTTCATGAGCAGAACAATCCGAAAACACATTAAATAACAGTACAGCCCATTGAAGAGATGCATGACTATCCCTCACAGCCTCGCTTTCATTCTCATTAAAAATCAAAGATGGCGCTGCCGTGAATAAGGCGTATTTCACTTGGATATACATCACAATTAGCATTCCAACTTCAAACAATAAAAAAGTTGTTATTACTAATCAGTAAATATTTCACCTCGAAACTGGAGAAATGTATACTTAGGTGAATGAATTTAGAAATTTGGCTGAATTAGACATGATAAATGTGACAAAACTTATGCATGTAAACTTAAAACTCGTCAGAAAGTGTGGATCAAAATCCCTTAGTCAATAGATTTCTTAAAATACTAAATTGATCCTTTAAGTTGAGGTTGTAAAATGTCATGTGTTGCAACTTTCCAAAAATGTAATGATAATTATGAATGAATAATTCATGATATTTGTATAAAAAAGGGTTATTATGCTAATGTGTAAAACTCACATGAATTCAAGATATAATAACATTTTTTTTCACTTTTTACTTGACAGTTAAAACAGTTAAACAGAAACTTTTCTTGAAAATGCTATACAAATCCCGGACGAGCCCCCAATTATGTTATATAGGTCTTCCTATTTAAGAAATATATGGATAATATGGTATGAGGGAGTAATACTTTTTTCTATTTGATCTAAATTCAACATTTATATGTTGTATACCATATTACCCATATACATCTTAAATAGGGAGACGTAACATATTTCCATATGAAATCGATGTGTATTTAACTAGTTTTTCCCCCTATAATTGCATTTACATAACCAGTCCCAAATTTGAGTCAAAACTATGGCATATGTCTGAAACGTCCTACTCACGTGAGTTGGTGGAGGGCGTGGTGGAGGTGACGGGCGTGAGGTTCATCTGCGAGATGTCGAAGTCGTCGCAGTCGTCCGTGTCTTGCGCCATCCCCACTCTGCTGAAATAACTGGTGAAAGCGTCTGTGGTGCAGGACAGGTTAGGCTGCTCGCTCTTCCTGGCAGGCATGGTTGGTGGCTTTGCCATCTGGAAGTCCTTAAACATCTCCTTGCTCATCTTAGCCTGTCTCTGCAGTGTGCGCTCCCCATGTTGCGGACTGGAGGCCGTGGAGCCTGAGGTTCCTGCCACGGCTCCGCCCATGGCCACCGCGGGCGTCTCGCAGGATGCGGGCACTGCCATGGAAGCCAGTGTCTGAAACATGGCAGCGGGAAGCGGCCCTACTGTCTGGGCAGGCATGAAAGCGGCAGGCGAAAAGTGAGCCCCTGCCATTGCGGCCCACTGTTGCTGGGTGGCAGGAAAAAGGTTGGCTTGACCCCAGATCAGAGGCTGAGCACCCGGTAAAACCTGCGCAACGGGCACCGTGGACTGGACGCCAAACGCTAATGGAGCCTGAGCGGCGAACTGTTGCTGCGCCCACGCGGGTGGCACGGCTCCCATCGTCACATAACCTAAAGGACGGAGACAATGAGACTTTCTGTTCACAAAGCTCTTCAAACTATCGAAAGAGAATTTACCGCCAAAATGCTTTGGAAAACACGTGCACCTCATTACGATGTTGTGTTGTAACCTTTAGCATTCACTAAAGGACTTTCAGGCGGCAGCCATATTTCTCTTGATGACTTGGGAAAGATGACCTAGATTTTCATAATGAAAAAGGTCTTTATGGCTCAGATGAACTATTGTAATTACTTCTCACAATAGGTCCGGGCTAAATGAATAGCAACGCCCTTTAAACGAGGCCATTACAACAGTCTGACTCATGTCACATTGAGGATTATTTCATTACACATCTTGCTCTTTCTTTCCAATGAGTAACGCTGATTCAAATAATAAAACTCCCCATCGTATCTTATCTCTATGACATGACACACACAGAGCGTGTCTGGAATATTTCATATAGGCGAGGCGTGAGATCAACTGTAGTTGGGTTACTCACAAAATAGGAAGTTGTGGAAAGATGTGATGATCCTTCATCTTTAAAAAATGACCCAGAATCAGCCACAGCTTCTCTACTTAGGTGTTGACATTAGCCATTTAAAAGAAGAATCTATAGAATCATCTGAAACCAAGTTTATTTGCATATAGCATGTACATTTGTTTAGGCTTGGCGATTATAATGAATGAAATATAATTTTGAAAACAGCTTAGCTATTGACACACACACACACTAATAAATGTAACAGCATTTTTTCTTGTAGTTAGCTAGTCCTCAATTCATGACGCTAACATAATGTCATTGAGCTGTGTGGGATGGGAACATTTGACACATGGAATTGCAGTAACGGTGTGTGGTTGTCTCGAGGACCAGTGAGTGGAATGCTTGGAGATGTTCTATATGTGAATTTAAGTAAATTGTGCATGTCCATCATTCAGTCAGGCAGCAATGGGCTGTCTCATCACAGCAACGCACCCCTACACTGGTCCATGATGGCCCTCGGCAGTCATTTTTGAGCAATGGATCCACCATTGGCAAATAGGATGGAATTATGGAGTGTCATTCAGGTACATGGGAAGCAAAACCTGAAGGACATCTCCAGTATCCTGCAGACATGTCGAGGAGTGCTATATCTTCTAGTAGAAAGATGGCGCTAAATGAATTGAATTAAGTTTTTTTTTTAATAAAATTAATTAGATTATTTATAACTATATTACATTTTATTTTTCATGTAACTAACTGCTTCATAAAATCTTAAAGTCATGCTATATTATAAATATAGAACACATATAGTGTGACTATGTTCATAATACAGCATAGCTTTCCTAAATAAGATCATAATTAAGTAGCGTGTTCTCATTCAGATGATTCATGTTCCATTTGACATGCCATTTAACACACAAGTTTCATTGAAAATGACTTACAATACACTGCCAGTGGGACCAGACCCCCTGAAGTACTCTGGGGAAAACTCTCACTTGAAAAAATCCAGAATGATTCCACAAAGGTGAAAAATGTGCTCAAGTTATCATAACTGAACTGTGAGAATCCCATCAGGACAGGTGTGTCAGAGTCAAATCTGGTGTTTATGATTTTACAACACAGAGGGGAGTTTGACTGAGGGAAAAGAATTGAAGACAGATGGGACAGATGATACACTACTGTTTACTGTTTCAGAGGAAGTCAATCTGGCTGGAACAGATGTCCCAGGGAGAGCAAAGTCACTGCACAAGGGCTATTAGTTTTTAATAACTGGTTCAAATATCATGACGTGAGTGTTTCTGTAGAATTTAAAGTGGTAGTACTTCACGATTTAGAGTTACTAAACAATCGTGAAAAAAACTGTAAAAATTCTACGTTGAAAGCGTTTTTATTGGTAAAAAGTAAGTTCTACTTCATTTTTTTATTAGTACTGTACATTAAGACGGGTAGTTCACCCAAACATGAAATTTCTGCCATTAATTACTTACCCTCATGTCATTCCAAACCCATACAGCCCATTCTCAACCCAAGGCGTCACCTAACGCCTTGGGAAGCATTTTGACCATGCTTCAATATCTGACGCTTTAGGCACGCTTTAGCGTCAGTTAGATGATGCCCTAGGATCCTGTCTAACCCTTACCCTACCCCAGACCTAAACCTACCCGAGTCATCTCACTGACGTTTTACCTTTAGCATCAGTTACGTAGATGACACCCTAGGATCGCGTCATGTAACTGCCGCTAAAGGGTGCCTAATGCGTCAGATTTTGAAGCATGGTCAAAATTGTCAGGTAGATGACGCCTTGGGATGAGAATGCGTTGACCCATAAGACCTTCGTTCAAGATCTTTTTGATGAAATCTGAGAATTTTGTGACCCCCTCCATAGAATTATTATTATCATCAATAAGTTTAAACCACTGTAGTCACATTTCAATGATGTCTTTACTACCTTTCTGGGCATTGAAAGTGGTATTAACTTTGCAGTCTATGGAGGGACAGAAAGCTGTCATATTTCAATATAAATCCTCATTTGTGTCCCAAAGATGAACTACTGTAAAGTCTTACGGATTTTATTTTTTTTTTCTTTAAGGTTTTATGTTGCATCTTATGTTCAAATAAATGTTTATAGAATTATTTTAGTGCTACCATGATAGTGTTTTGTACTTATGTGTTACCATGATGATGTTTTGAACTTGTGCGGATGACACTATGTTCAACTTCTACTGTATATTAATATTTACCTCAGCTTGTGGAAAAGCTACTTGAGGGGAACTCTGAATTATCATATGGCTTTCTCTTTACCATAATGTTTCTAAGATGAAAAGTAACCTTAAAGATCAGTAGTACTCTACAAAAGTTTGTAAATAGATTAATTAACATTATTAAAATCTTGGTTCCGGCAAGTTCAGGTAGATGGTAGTTCACCCCCCAAAAATGAAAGTGATGTCATATTTATTTTCGTCATGTAGTTTTAAATCTGTATGACATTCTTTCTTCTGCAAAACATAACTGTAAAATAAGACATTTTTAAACTGTTTTTAATCCATTTAATCAAAGTCAATGTGGCACGAAACAACATTCGACCCCATTAATTGAGAAAATCACAGAGATTTTTCTAAGTATCTTTATTTGTTTTGCAAATAAGAAAGAAAGTCATACAAGTTTAAAACGACATGATGAGAGTGAACAAATATTTTAACCACTCCTTTAATAATCTGTATATATTTTGTTTAATTAAATAAAAGAATGAAAGAGAGGGGTGAAAATGGTGATGAAAAAGGAAACATTCCCCCTTTATGGTGCAAAAATCCGTGACTAAGTGGACATCAGGGAAAAAAATACATAATAAAAATGTATGATATGACTCCCGAACAGATGTGCATGTTAAAAAGGCATCAAACACCCACAGATATAACACACACACACATAAACACACAGAGTAGCACTATAGCAGGTAGAGGTGACGCTGTGTCCTCTGCAAGGCATTTATCATGCAGATCAGTACAGCAGCCAGTAATGAGAGAATTCATATTCTACAGCAGAAGGACGGGACATCTTATTTAGCTAGACATATAACTAGACAGATACATTACTTAATTCACATCCGCCCCATTCCATGTCTCCTTTATCTCTTTTCTTGGTATTGTTTTCTCCTGTACACACACAACATTTTCTCCTACCTGAGGGTACCGAGGCAGGGTTGAAGGGGGTGAACAGTTCGGATGGAGTCTGGTGGGCCAGCGTGCGGTCCAGAGTATTAGCCGGAGATGCTGGGGTCTGTGGAAGAGGAAAATCACAGCAGTCTAAACAGAAGCTTTCCAAAAAAAAAAAAAAAAATACACTTGGTTCATAGCTCAACTACATCAAAATGGCATGCTGTTTACATGCTACCTAATTAGTATGCAGTATACATTGTTTAGTATTCCTGCATTACATTTGAAGTCACTCACCGATGGGGACGTGATATCTGGAGGAGTGGACATGTCTCCGAAAAGCTCTAACTGGTTGATATTCTGCAGATGAAAGAGGAACATTTACCAGCATAAATTCAGATGTGTTTCACCTCAGCACGCATTGCCATGACAGTCTAGTCTTTGCCACAGAATATACAGAATATGGGCATCTACCTTGGGCAAGCAGTGGTTTGAATACAAATGGTGACTTATGAAAATGATAGTGAGTTGCTATAAAACATATAAAAGATGATGATGACTTCTTGTACCTACCGATCATGTACAGCACACATCATCCATCCATCCAACCGACCAACCAACCAATCAACCAACCAACCAACCAACCAACCAAAACTGATCCATCCATCCATCCATCCATCCAAACAACCAAGCAACCATCCATCCACCCACCCACCCAACCAACAATCCATCCATTCATCCATCCATCCATCCATCCATCCAACCGACCGACCAACCAACCAACCAACCAAAACTATCCATCCATCCATCCAAACAACCAAGCAACCATCCACCCACCCACCCACCAAACCAACCAACCAAACAAGCAACCAACCAACCAACCAACCATCCATCCATCCAACCAACCATCCATCTATCCATCCATCCATCCATCCATCCATAAACCAACCCACGCACCCACCCAACCAACCAACCAAGCAACCAACCAACCATCCATCCAAAACCCACCCACCCATCCACCCACCCTAACAACCAACCAACCAACCCAACCAACCAACAATCCATCCATCCATCCATCCAACCAACCATCCATCCATCCATCCATCCATCCATCCATCCATCCATCCATCCATCCATCCAACCAACGTAAAATATAATATAATAAGAGCTAATTTCAAGTAAGGTAATGAGAGAATATTTTGGTATATATCCTGTATTTGCATTCACTGCTGAACAAGAGGATGCCAGTCCCACTAGGCTTTTGTAGGACTTTTTCGGGTTTTCACTCCTCAAAATGTCTGAATTTTCTGCAGCCTTTATTAATTTATTAGTACTGTGTTGATAATAACTAAAATATTTGTGCTGTTTCACAGTGAAAACCCACCAACAACCATAACATACTGAATTCATCGAAACTCGCCTAAGAGTGTCGAAGTCCTTGGGGTTGTTTGAGAATTTGTTGAGCTTTTTAAAGTGACTGGCGCATGACAGAAAAGCTTTTCTAAGCTGCTTCTAAAAACTGTTTCATTCAGCCATTTGCTTGAGGCCAGACCACAGGGATCTTTCCTAAAATGCAACACACTCTTTTCACATCTACAAAAGGGATTTTTTTTTTGTATGAAAGAATAATTGCTCTCCTGTCTCTCATGTTATGCTGGCATTTACAGTGTCCACTCACCTGTCTCTAATAATGTTAAAACAATTAAAAAACAGCACACACAATAACACGGTCTCTGACTGATTTATTCATGGGAACACAAAATCCGACCTATTAAACAGGGTCACACTACGGTCATCCAAAAGAGCTCTGTCATTTGACTATGAAAAGGAAAGGTCAGGTATGAGTAAGTAGACTACTTCCAGGAGACTAGTGGAGAAAGTAAAAAGCAAGAGACTGGGGATTTAAAAGGGCTATAAACTGTTCATAGCGGGAAGTGTGACGTTTACTTTCCTCTACAGGGACTCTACTGAAGTCTACAGTGGACCACAGTGCACTACTTATTACTTTATAGCTAGATTACAGCTAGAGGAGCTTTTCTAGATCATTTGAAATCAAAACAACAACTTGGAGGATCATGGGAAGGCTGAGGGCAGGTGTGGAGAAACTTCACCCAGTCATTGTCTACCTTACCTTGGTGACCAGCAACAGGTCAGTGTCTAGATCCAAGAGATCGATCGGTTGGTTATGTTTGTTCTGCAATGATAACATGGTGTTAGATGAAAGATGAAATGGGACACACAGAAAATGAGGTCTGTTTTGGGAAGGTGAAGTGGGATTAGATGAGATGGATGGTACTTTACCTGTACAGGTGAGGTTACACGTTTACCTCACTATCCCACAATTAATTCGTGGCTTTTGCTTTTTTTCTACCAGATTATCTCTAAACCGGTTTGAGCCCGACAAATGCAAGAACCAACTGTATTTATCTTTGCCAACTCGCATCCCACCCCATAGTTCCAAACTTTAATTTGTGGAAGGAGGAATCAAACAAAAAAAAATGATTTTTAACCAGCTGCCGGCAGGCTTTAATGGGAAAATAATGTGCTCAAATGGGCGTCTCTTGAGATAACATGGGAAGAGCAAAAGACCATGAACAACAGCTGCTCCCATCTTACATATTGTGCTGCTGAAAAAGCAACACAGGCGAGGAGAGGATCTTATTCAAAAGGAGAGGATGATGGGTAGACCATGAAATAGAAAAGAACACCAAGAACCCTTTCTTCGAACATTATTTACTTGGTTAGCTGGATAAAGAGGTGTCATATTTTTTTCTTCACTTCAGCCCTCGCTCAGAGAAGACGTGACTGAAGGAATACAACTTATTTTGGTAACTTTACATTAGGTCCCATTTGTTAACATTAGTTAACTACTTTTACTTTTACTTAACATGAAAACATGAACATTACTGTTATTAATGTCAACATTTGCAACATTCAACATTTAATTTCAACATCCTTTTCAGTTTTTTTTATTTCAGTGCTTTAATATGTCTATTTAGTATTTATTAAGTCTTGCGTTAGTTTGAGTTTTAGTTTTAGTTATTTTAGTACTTCTACTTAAACTAAACAGAAATGAGAAATGTTTCCTGGGTACTAGCTGAAATAAAATAAGTTTAACTTTTTTTTTACTATTATTATTATTTTAGTACTAATGAGAACAAAGATTGATAAATGCTTTGACAAATGTGCTATTCATTGTTCGTCCATCTTGCGTTCAGTTGTTTGTTTGGTCTCGTTGATGTAAAGTGGTTGTTTTCGTTTCTATGACCTGTGATCTGCTAAATCTTTGGATTGAAGACTGTTTTAGGCCTACTCCAGCCATGTACTTCATTCGATACAAATAACCGTGATATAATTTAGTGTTCATTTTAAAAAGCCACCTTAAAATGAAAACAATGTCAAATATGACATTCACGACATTTGACAGACATTCACATTGATTTCTGCTACAAAAAAATTACTTTTTCATTATGATGGAATCCGGGAAGCTATCCGGCTAACCAAGTAAGACCAAATTTAACACTGACAACGAGACAAACACACAAGATCTGGACATGTACATGTAAAACATGCAATAAAATGAAGAACTGACTACAGGTCAGTGGCTCAGGTTTCAGAAGCAGTTGACACATGAGATGGTTAAGTCTGAAAGTCTCTCTATGTTAGCGCTTAGCTTTAAGAATCGAAGTGTGGTCATATCAGTTTGAGAAAAGTAAGCAGGAATAAGCCACTGCTATAGTGACATGTTATATTTGCTAATGCAGTTATGAGGGAATGGACAAACATGAAGGAAAGCAGAGGCAGTGTGATAGAGGGAAAGAGAGAAAGCATCATCAAGGTTTGGGTTGTGTAGCTTTCTTCACGCAATCAGTTCAGCTGTCTAACATTGAAAAGGGCTTCATTCATAAAACATAAGCAGAACTCTGAATGATGCAGCAATCTACATTTGCACTCAGTTTTTTCCTGCATGTGTTTCACGAACGAGGCCGAATAAGGGGAAACATCTAAAATTTGATTTGTTCCTGCCATGTTTCCAGGGTGATGGTTTTCGTCTCAAGTTGTTCGGTTTTTAAGGTCATTGAGCTGGAACTGCCGTTCTACACTGTGGCCAGTAGCTGCATTAAATGGCCGTAATATTACCAGCCCAAAAGATGCCATCAAATCAATCTCTTTACACACCCTTGGGGATCACCATTGAGGATAATGGGAAAGATGACAGCTGGGCCCCACAGTGATGAACTGTGTCAGTCAAAGCGCGTCGCATGCTGCTGACACCTTATTACTGATGGATATCACGAGTGCTGATAACTACCTTCTTATCTGTTATTATAACAAGCTGCCTCTCCTGTGAAAGTATGACTCACATGATGTATTGTCATTCCATAACCGAAACAACAGTATTTACACTAAACAGTCTCCATGGCAACATTTAGAACGAGGCTGGGAGTGCATATAAGTATCACGTTTATTTTGCCACAATCCATCAGCCTACTTTTCTATCATCATCACTTCAAAAAGACTATCAATTAGCCGTCCCCTCGGAGAGAATAATTATCTTCACAGTGTCCTGTGTGCTTTTAGTGCTGCCCGTTTCATTATGGACGGAGATGTAGCCACAGGCATGAAACCAACCGAGAATCACAGCTAGGAAATTAAATAATATGTGGTGAGGTAAAAAGAAGAACAAGAACAACACTAAAGACTTATCCAAAGAAATGATTCATTAAATACTGTTTATCAAAGTCAATTCTTTAGAAGGCAAAAATATAACGAGGAGAATTTACTAAGAATATGATTTTGTTGTTTATTTGCGCAAACTGACTGCTTTGTTTCACCGCATGATTCACCAAGGGAAATATGAAAATTAATTAATGTGCAAACATGGTCCAAAAATATGTGCTAAATGCATTTTGCATGACGCTGTTGTCCATTGCAGTTGTGAAGGATGCGGCAGAATATCATGATCTGGCATGCTGCATTTTTTTTTTTTTTACTTCTTTCTAACAATGTATAATTAAACACAACGTGCTATTAAACGTGCAAAACAAAGCAAAACAAAAGAAAACAGAACGCACACACACAAAAAAAAACTAAACAAATCACAAAATACAAAGGAAAAGTAAACAAAACAAAGCAAGGCAAAAAAAACTAAACAAAAACAAAGCAAGGCCAGGCAAAACAAAACAAAACAAAGCAAAACAAAAAACAAGGCAAAAAAACAAAAAAGAACAAAGCAAGGCAAAACAAAAAACAAAGCAAGGCAAGGCAAAACAAAACAAAGCAAAGCAAGGCAAAACAAGAAATAAGGCAAAAAAAAAAAAAAAAAAAAGCAAGGCAAAAAAAAAAAAAACTAAAAAAACAAGGCAAGGCAAGGCAAAACAAAACAAAGCAAGGTAAGGCAAGGCAAAAAGAAATAAGGCAAATAAAACAAAACAAAAAACAAAACAAAGCAAGGCAAGCCAAAACAAAACAAAACAAAATCAAACAAAACAAAACAAGGCAAAACAAAAAAAATAAAAAAAATAAGCAAATGGAAAGAAAAAACAACAACTAAACAAAACAGAAAACAAAGAAAAATTAAACAACGAAACAAAATCTTTTTGTTGTTATAATTTGATAGTCATTTGATGAATCAGTCCTGCTATGAAAGCTAGAAAAAGTACACAAACGCCTACGAAAAAAAATATTTACTGGAATTTTAACAATTCAAATAATGTATAATTATAATGTGCATTACACAATATATACACTTAGTTTTATAGAAGTGTGCATGTTCCAAAAACAATGACAATGTTTTCGTTGTATTGAAATGCTTATTGAATTTGCCCCAAAATGCTGCTTAAAAAAAAAAAAAAAAAATTAAAAATAAAAATCAAAGAAGCGCAAATAAATACATATAAATAAATAAATTCAGACCCACAATGTACAGTATGTGCAGATGCACAACACAAAACAGATTTACAGCCTAGCGGTTCAAAAGCCAATTCCGTAGAGCCGAAAGAGTTATTTTATGAGTTGAAGCTGTGCAGATTTCGCTTCGGCAGAAATGAAAAGGCCGGGGAAGGCAGGATCAAGAGGCCACGCGACTTAGATTGAAACAGGAGAGAGGAAGGCGGCTGAAAATATGTGCGAGGGAAAGAGAGAAAAGAGTGAGTGGGTGTTTGAAAACATGATGGAAGAGGCGAGAGGAAAAGATGCCAGACAGTGGCACAGGGTGACATGAGGGCTGAGATGAGGGAAATTCAACTCAAACATTGTTTTTCAGGTCTGGAGTGACCCAAACAATTGAATATTGAGGACAGACTCAACCAACTCCAGGGTACGGGGGACTTTTGCAGGGGTTGTGTGTGTTGTGATGAGGTTTTAGGCATTTAGCTGAGCTAAGACTGAATGAACAGAGCAGCTATAACACAAGAGAGATACAGACAGCATGAAAAGATCAGCCATCTTTCTTTATAACAGAGTGTTAATGTTGAGGCCAAATGGCCTGACAAGAGATCATCCACCATTTAAAGAGAGAGAGCAAAATTCACTATAACTTCTTGACCAGTTGAATCTCATTCACAGTCCGATCACAGATGCAGAAGCACAACTCAAAAAAAATGTTGAAGAATGTTTGCCATCTCTCATTTAAATGACTTTATCTGTCAACCCATTTAAGCTAGCATTTAAGCAAAGACTTCAAAAAAAAAAAAATGTATTATTGTAGATCATGCATGATTCACGGACATTCATGATGTGGCATTGAAAGAATAGTTCACCCAAATTTAATGTCCTGTCATGTTATTTCAACACTCCAAACATTATGTTCTTCCTCTCTGCTTTTGTCTTGTTTTCTAGTACAAATATCGAAAGATTCTTAAATAAAGATATATTTACTTGAGAAGCAAAATTACTTATGATCTAAAATTATTATCCAAATTGAGCGAGTTTTTGCGTAAAACAAGAAAAAGAATTGCAACTGTTAAAGAAATATTGTTGGTTCAACTAAAAAAAGTATGTTTTAAGGTTGCCTTAACATTTTGAGTTCATTGAAATAAAAAAAATAAGTTAATACAATGAAGGAGATTGGATAATAAACAGAAACTCAAAATATTATGTTGATTTGACAAAAGATAAAAAGTTGTGATAACATATTCATAAGATCATAAGAATAATTTTTACAGTGAGAGGTCAGAAAAAAACTAATCTTTTCGCTTTGAATTTTTTATATTTTGACCCCATGGCCAGAATTGTTTTTCTTGTGTACACTTAAGCTCATTTTGATCCTTTTATATTATATACATATTCATTTTTCTTCACAAATTATATCTTGATTTAAGAATATTTAGATATTTGTACTATAAAACAAGACAAACATACTAATGAAGAATTGTTATTATTATTATTACTATTATTTTTTTTTTACAGTAAACTTCCCTGGAACACAAAAGAAGAAGCCCTCTGGAGACTGTTCTAGTTGCTCATTTCCATAAAAAAATATGAATATAGAAAAAAAAAAAAATGAGTTTAACTGGAATTTATGCCTGAAATTGTGCATGAATCATATGGGCCACATTTATGGCGCTTTTATTAAATCTTAAAAGACCGTCATAGCAAGAAAAAGAATGAGCACATTCTTCTTTCAAATCTCTGTATTCCATGGAAGAAATAAAAGTCATACATGATTCATGAGAATTTTCTTTTTGGGTGAACTTTCTTGTCAACTTGATTCACAAGGCTGGAATGCCCTCATGAACGCACCAGATGTCCTTATCATGGGGTGAAGACAAGCATACATCATGCAAAAAACGACCACCGCCCAAACAACTTGATTTTCACAAACAAACACAAAAACCACACATATAAACAACCAGCCAAAAAACGCACACAAACACCGGGGGTAAATTAAGAGTGCACAGCCTATGCGGTTTACTGTAAGCCGGGAAATGAGAGCTGCTGAACTCCTCACGGGACTCGAGACAGGGAGCAGAAACATGCTTGATGCTTGGTGGTTTACAAATTGAAAGGTTTGCCAGAGAGAGGCACAGGATAGTCACATAAACAAACACACACAGGTCCACTCACTGGATGTCGCTTTGGGACGTCATAAACTCCCTCCTTTTGTTGGCTGGTAGGGACCTGGTGTGGACAGGGAGCCCAGCCAAATGCACAGTTAACATGACAAGTTACCATTAGTTCAGATTTCAGCAAGAGATTTTACAAGGTCAATGCAGAATGCAAATTTTATGCTTCCTGGAGAACAAAACGAGCCATTGTCTTTGTATAAAGTGCTCTAATAGTAATATAAGTGCAAGATGCAGAAAATGGTGCATAGAAATTAAAATTGAGCTTGAACAATGATAATAAATATTTGTATTATTAATTAAAAAAAAAGTTATATTTGATTAATAATAAATGTTTTAGATAAAATAATATCAATATAATTGTATAGGCTGCATGATAAATAGTGTTCTTTTCTATTATTGATCAATAAGTTATGACAACATGTGTTTTTACATTGCCTTAACTCAAAAGTTTTATTTAAAGCAAAATAAGATAATGTATAAGTTATACAAGGTCAGTTTAGCATAATTTAAGTTGAGGTTGAACAAAAAATCCAAGTTGATTGTACTTAAAAATTTAAGGTAGTCACTTTTTTTTCCATACCGTCATTTTCATGTTCAAATTAAACAGCTAAAGATGCAGATCCTTTCCTTGTCTGTTATTTTCACGTCTTCCCTCTCTCTTTAATTTGCCATTGTTCTTAATTTCCCTCGTGCCGAGAGACTGATTGCCGCTGTGTTTTTATTTGATCGTATACTTGAAGTGATCTTTCCATTTCTTTTATTCAAAGATCACACAGCGACAGCAATGATTAATCATTCTCGTTTGGAGAAAGGGCAGAGGAGAGACCTGCTGCTTTCCTCTCACAGCCAGAGTCGTTTCTCCATGCAGACTTTGGAAATCTCCCTACACTCAGAATCAGTCCCTCAGTTCAGTCATGCTATCCAAACTTTACCAGAGCCAAAACTACTTGGGACCCAAGGGGCCCGCTGGAGGTCAAGGTTACTTTTGATGCATAGTGTTAGCTTTGGTTAATCAACATATCTAACATACCTGTAAGAGATGCTGTTCTAAGGTTAAGGCATGTTAGATAGCATTGTTTTTTTTTTTTTTTACAAATTTTTTTCCCGTATAACAATTAAGAGAAGGCAAAACTATTGTTTTAAATTAAGATTTTGGGCTATTTTTCTTCCATTTTTTTCAGACTAGTGGAAAGAAAACTTCCAAAATACACAAGCGATTATTTTACTACACTTTTATCTATTTGTGATTGTACATTTCAACTACAATACCATAGTCTTATACCATCCCATCTTAAAGGAGTATTTCACTTTTGAAAAAAACTTTTGCTGATAATTTACTCACTCCCATGTCATCCAAGATGTCCATGTCTTTCTTTATTCAGTCAAAAATAGAAATTAAGGTTTTTGATGAAAACATTCCAGGATTTTTCCCCATATAATGGACTTCAATTGGAACCAAAAGGTTCAAGGTCCAAGGACATTTTCAGTGCAAACTGTTCAAAGGGCTTTAAACGGTTCCAGACAAGGAATAATGGTCTTATCAAGCGAAATGATCGCTCGTTTAATAAATATATAACACAGTTTAAGTTTTTTAAGCTCAAATGCTCGCCCTGCTCTGTTCTGTGATGCATGTTTGTTACTCTCCTGTTTCGAACTCGTTTATCAATATGAATCTTTTTCCGAGTCATTTGGTTCATTCAACGAACGAAATGAACGAATTGACTCGGAAAAAGATTTGTTAATTTTGATGAACGAGTTCGAACAGGAGAGTCACAAACATGCATCACAGAACAGAGCAAGATGAGAATTTGAGCTTATAAAACTTAAACTTAGTTATTTATTTTTTAAATGAGCGATCGTTTCGCTTGATATTCATCGTCTGGAATCGATTAAAGCCCTTTGAACAGTTGGCACTGAAACTGTCTTTTGGACCTTGAACCGTTTGGTTCCCACTGAAGTCCATTATATGGAGAAAAATGCTGGAATGTTTTCATCAAAAACCTTCATTTCTTTTCGACTGAAGAAAGAAAGACATAGATGACATCTTGGATAACATGGGGGTGAGTAAATTATCAGCAAAAGTTTTTTTTTTTCAAAAGTGAACTACTTCTTTAATGTACTGTGATAAGTCAACTGGATAAAGTATGGTATTTATTAGTTAAATGTTTTACCATAATTCACCTGTAGTATTTTTCTTTAAGTTTGGGGAAATCATTTTTAGGAATATTGGACAAAAAGTTATAAAGCGGTGGCATTGTTTTAAAGCTACACATAGCTAAAATAAAATGTAGATAAACTATTGAAATATCCATGACTTTATCATTTTATTTTTAATTCCCTGATATCTCCATGGTGCTCCGCAATATAACCACGATTCAATTGATGCCATTTATACAGCTTCAGTCTTGACATTGGACGTCTAGAGAAGACAAATCTCTTATTCTGTTCATTTATGTTACCCTATTTCAAATCCAAAAGTGATTTTCACACAGATTCAATTTGACTCGGCCAATCTGGCTTTTTGTTTGATATGAGATGAGATCAGGTGTTAGCTGATCCTGTTTTATTGATGTGACAGCAAGCAAATGTCTCTTTCATGCTCCTGAGTTTCCCATATCTGCCCTGATGTCAGCAACAAGTGAAGGAGTTTGTGAAGTGTCAGCTTAGCGCTCGAGAGCCGAGCAGATATTTGAATTTAGAGGGTGTAATTTGGTCCCCAATGGTGTCAAGCTTTCGCGGAGCTACTTAACTGAATGCGACATTAAGTCGGCTATGTAAAAAAGTTGTGGAGGAGACAGACTGGCAAAGTGTTGGGGCGCTGATGTGTTTATTGTTTAGCTTGGCAGTGTCTCTTTTTGACGCAAGCCACAGGTGACAAAACAAAGCAGCACCTGAGGATACAACACCTGCTGTTGTCTTGGTCATGGCGCTCGGAGCACGAAACATTGCTGGGTGTAAATCTTTGAAAGGGCCGTCACGCTGAATTAGTGTGGCTTGGCGAAGCACGCTGTTCTAATTCGCAGGTGGGACTCTGTCAGATACACAGTGGAGCTGTCAGTAAAGCTGCACCATCAAAACCAAGGGTTCTTCTTAAGTGTTATTTAAGCTTGGAGGCTCCCTATTGGCTGTTTGATCATTAAAACGTGTGTTGGTCCATGAAAAACTGTTAATGACAGACCTAAGCTCGATGTATTATGTTTTTCCAATTGACGGATAGTATCGTGTTGTGGACGGCGACGGTCATTTCAACACACTGTAAAAATGACCGTTCGAAGTAAATAAAACAAAGATTATTGGAGTATTTTTTCCAAGAAAATACGATATGAGTCATTCTCTTACAATTTGTTTGACATTTATTTGTAGTTATTTTTGAAATTTATAAGAAATTTCTGTACGAAAAAGGTAAATCCACATTATATATATATATATTTTTTTAATAATAATTTATAATATATATTTTATAATATAATAAAAACATTTTTTTTTTAGATATCTTTCAAGCAGGAGTGTAGGAAAACTCTGAAAAATCAGGGGTGACATTTAGCCTGGCTCATGAATATTAATTAGGCGACGTAACCAGTTTTTTAAACTATGAAAAATATGAGAAACTACACTGTTATTTATTTATTTAAAGTGTAAAATATTTCTTTCAATGAATTTGAGAAGAACTTGTGAATTATGTTTTTGACTGTGTTTATCATATTTTACAGTGGAACATTATAAAAAATTGCAATATTTATTAATATTAAAATACTTGATGGAATAAAAAATATTAATTTATTGTTAACATTTTTTATTGATTTATTCCAATTAAAAATAGCAGATTTATCTTTCAGAGCTGGCAAACTTCCAATTCTCAGGAAAAAAAAAATACAGTACTGTTATCACATGTTCAAATCCCCCACAAATATTATATTGCATGGACATATGCTAATCTGAATGGTTTGTTTTGTACTATAATAATATAAGTATATTCTTACTCGCGTTGAACATGTGTTCAAACTAATATTGAAATCTGATTATGTAACTATCAGTTAAAAGGTACCATTATTAAGATTTGGTAGTGTACCTGATATATGCTCTCCTCTGATTGGTCACGGATGGGCTCGTGTCCCGCCTCAAATACAATGTACTACAACATCGGCAGCAGAAGAAGATAAAAAGGCAAAGGGACAGGGAAAAGGTGAGTGCGAAAAGAAAAGAGAAAAGGAAGAAGACTGATTGATCACACAGAATCAACAGCGGCCCCCAGGAGTAGCGCAGTGACCCCTCTAGCCTTGAGGGACACAGCGGACGGTTCATGTTTCGCTACAAACTATGATAGTTTCAAAGCAGAGAAAAATATTCACTCTCTACATTCGAGGCAACTTAAAATAACAATAAGAACAAAATAAGAACATTTCGGAAGGAAGCATTACAAGTTGTTCCTTCTGACCCACGCCTCATGCATATATTCAGTCTGATTTCGGCCTTTAAAATTTCAACATCCCATTTTTTTTTTCTGTGAATCCGTACCCCTCTGTTTCTGTACCTGCGAACAGGGCAATGTTATGAATTTTACAACGTTAAGGAGAAATAAATCAAAGTCTTAAACCCAATGCTGCATGTTTCTTTAACGATGCATGCTAATGTTAGCTTAGCAGGGGTAACAAAACTTTCCCAGAGTTGGTCTGCATTTAAGATGCTAACCACTAAGTTTTAGGGCTAATTTAGGAATGGCAGACCCGTTTAAACCCATAGCTGTGATATATTCCTCCATAACGCAGGGATCACACAGAGATGAGAGCGATTTTTGGCAAGCGACATTCTAGCTAATTGCTAATTCCTGTCCATTCAAGACCACATTAATGCTAATGGCAGAATCTTCTCCATTTTCAGTGACATTAGATCTAACGGCTTAGCCGTTCTCATTTACAAACTACTGTCGCCATTGGCCATTTCATTCTGTTACACAGTTAGCCATTGGCTAATTCGCTTCTTCTCTAGCCATCTTAACAGCAAATTGATAGTGTTAATCAGGTCTTATACTGCAAGTAGTGACTGATGCTTCTAGGCCTAGAAGCAATGTTTCCCATTTCTCTTCTACTTTGTTAGTAACAGCCAATGGACGCTCTGTCTTGCTTTTTAAAGATACACTCCAATCATACACAATAGAATACATAGAAGGCTAGACCATTCGCATTATGATGCACACCGGACAATACGGAAAGGCAATGTAATGCATGTAAACACACACACACACACGCAGCCCAGATGAGATGTGTTAAAGCTGTCTGTTTTCAGTACAAAATAAAGGAGGCTCCCAGAATCGCTCTTGCATCAGAGTTTTATCAGTATATTCCCAATTCATGAAAAGGACAAGTTAACAACACTTTGCAGCGATGATTCACAGTTTACGTCTAAGAAATAATGATATAACAAGACTTATTAATTCAGGAGGAGTGAGGAAAGAGCAGAGAAAATGGAGTGGAATCATTTATTTCTGTAAATGAGATTAAACGCATATTACTGAGCAGGGAGCCCTGTTTAAAGTGACAGTGAGAGGCAAACTAAATTGACAGCGTACATTCAGGCAGACATGATTAGCGATTTATTTCAAAGCGTTACCTGATACACGGGATCCTCCACATCTTCCTCCAAAATGGTCTGCAGGAGTGATCACATAGAGGGAGTGATTGAAAGAAGGAGAGTATTGGAAACGGGAGAGGTGATTATGACGAGAAAAAGAAGCCAGTTTTTGGTCATTTATGTAAAAACAGAGCAAAAACACAATTTCAACATCAGCCAGTGAAAATAGGAACAGAATGTGGCCTGCACAGGACGAAAGGAGGGATTTTATGTCGATTGAAAAAGCTGTGTGAAGGAAATCACTCCGCAGATATGCACCTGAGATTCAATAGACAAAGAGAGAGAGGAAAGAGCTGCCAGACGACAGGTGCACACTGTGGGATTTTGCCACTGTTATGTCGTGTGAGATTATTAATTTAGGAATAGTAAAAAAGATTTGGTCAAAGTTTAGGGTCCAATTCTCACTATTAACTACTTGTTAGCATGCATATTACTAGAATATTGGCTGTATATTACTACTTACTGTTTTACACCCCTTAATCCTACCCAACACCTAAACTTAAAGGAGTTGTATGCAAGATTGTGGCCAAAACTGGTACTGCAATCACTTTCAAATTAGGGTATATCCCCGCCTTCCCCCATGACTCGAGGTTGCCAGATATGCTGCAGGTTCCAGCAAGAATGTAGGCTGCTACAAGAACCTTCCAATTGCAAGTGATGAGTCCAACACAGTGAGGTTGTTTTCTGTTAATGATTTATTTTGGACTTTTAAAAAAGTATTTCGGATTTATATCGAGTTTTTTGGGTTTTTTGCAATGTTAGAATTTTTGCTCGGTTTTTAACAAAACGGAAACGTTCAAAAGCTGATTAGAACGAGTGATGTTCGATGGCGGCATCCATCTTTGTACTGTAGGCTACAAAATCTGCTTCAAAATCCCAGCGCTTTCGTCATCGTGTAAACCCGTTTCTGATTGGTACCGCGATTTCGCCGCATTGGAAATGGACTTGAATGAGTTCTTTGCCAGACTAGAGCAAATCTAAATTTGCTGGAAGTTGTCTGGGTTTTCCCAAGCTAATCTGCAGTTGTGGTAACTAGAGAAGAGCTGGCAACCCGAATGCCACAACACTACTGAGTCCGTGATTGGTAGATCGGTGGAGGGTGATGCATCAGAACAAAACACAACTTGACAACATCAACATCAGTCGAGGGTTGCGACTTCACTTTTTAAATGACAATATCCTGGCCGTCAGTGATATAAGTATTTGAAATGAACATGATTTCTTAATGTATAGTGACATATCAGGGAAAATTTATGATTAATTGAAATAAATTTCTTGCATACAGCTCCTTTAACAACTACCTTACTAACTATTAATTAGCAGAAATTCAGCAGAGTTGGACCCTAATATATATGAAGAGTTCAGATGCAAAAGCCTCTAAATGCCATTTGAAATTTTCTTCTTTAATGATGATTTTTATCAAACTTGTATATTTAAGTTCAGTAATTTCACTTAAATAACAATTAATAGGTAATTATAATTGCCATTTAAGTGAAATCACTGAACTTAAATATACAAGCTTGATAAAAATGATCATTCTAGAAGAAAATTTAAAATGGCACTTAGAGGCTTTTGCATCTGAACTCTTCATATATACCCCATATATACTGTATATAATAGGGCTGTGCAATGATTAACCATGACTGGTATATATATATATATGTATATGACACAGTTGTTGTTGTACAGTCTGCCTCCTTGTTTACCCACTTCTCATTAATTTACAATCTTTCAAGCAACAGTTGAAATAAACTTCTGTGCACTCGGCCTCATACGAGTATAATTATGTTATTCTCTGAGATAAATAATAAATATGCCCTCTCGGAAATGTGTTGTTTCTGTATTTTCACCCTTTTTGTATTGCATATTTAATTTTTCCCTTTTGAGTTTGTTGTTGTTGTTTCTCTTTTAGACCACTCTCATTCGTCTGTTGACGTATATGCGGCCGTTTTCTGACCGAGCATTCGAAATTGTGAATTCTCTTTGGGTTTCTGAGTTGATGCGAGTGTGAAGGTTTCATGTGTGTGTGTGTGTTACCTGATAAACAGCTTGTTCGCATTGCTTGTCCTTCTGAGCTTTCTTCTCAATCTCCTCCCTCTGTTTAATCTCATAAATCAACTGGAAAAGGTCACGGAGGTCAAGGATCACAGGCTCAGCCTGGGAATACACGCAGAAAGACAGGCAGATAGACAGATTTATAGTAGTATTATTATTTAAGTAGTAACATGATCTTCTTAATATAAGGATCCATATTTGCTGTATTTCATGTACAATTCTTTAAGCAATTCAGAGCAAAAAAAAAAAAAAAAAAAACACAAGAAAAAAAAGCTCTTATTCAGCTGCTTTTACATCTGCCAGATCTGCCAGGAGGTGACAGAACAAAGTGCTTTCCGTTTGAAATGGCAGGGTCAGATCAAATTTCACTCTTTGTAGTTATATTAAAAATACATCTCCCAGTGATGCCTAAATGTCACTAATATCTCAATAAATACATGGATGAAAATGCCCTCAAAACTTGCCTTGCTGCCTAAAGCAGATTTATTGAAGACTTTATATGAGGAAAGTTTGTGAATTGATGTGGATTATTATCCCATAGTTGAGGGACAGAGGTTTTCTTTTTTAGGTAAAATAAAATAAAATAAAATAAAATAAAATAAAATAAAATAAAATAAAATAAAATAAAATAAAATAAAATAAAATAAAATAAAATAAAATAAAATAAAATAAAATAAAATAAAATAAAATAAAATAAAAATAGTTTAAAGAAACAGCCAAACGTACCATGGTATTTTTATGTAATACCATCCCTAGACCACAATACTGATACTGCCACAGTACTTAAAGGCAGAAAAAGAGAGATGGGGAGAAACAGCAGGGAATGACAACATGAGGTTGGAAAAATGTATAAATGAGAACCATTACTGTAGCAGGAGTGAGTGAAAATAGCGCAGGAACATGTTGCCATTGCTTTATATTTATGTGTTTGCTGGGTCACTTGTAGTTCACAGTGAGAGGGCGATGGATGGGGAGAGAGAGAGAGAGAGAGAGAGAGAGAGAGAGGACAGCAGATACTCATCGTCCAAGTATGGAAATCGATTGAGCAACTGCAACAGAAGCGCAGCACTGCAGACTAGAGCAGCGCAACAACAAAGAACAGCAGAAACAACAACACAGGGGCAAAGTCAGAAACAGACTGAGGGAATGAACGCCAGGCAGGGACAGAGTCTTTGTCATAACAGCGAACGGACTAGAGTTCATCATATACTCATGGTTTTGAAATATGCTTTTGGATATATAACGCATTTTCAGGTACTGTATGAGTACTTACAGACTGAGCAGTTTTGATGGCCACAAACCGATGGTTTCCTTCTTTCCCACATACATAACCAAAGGCTCTGTGGTCCGTGATATCCTTTGCAATGTAGGAAATCTCATGAACTGCATGGTGGTGCTGAAGAACCTGTGGACAAAAACAATGTTCTTTAGAAATGCTTATACAGCTAGAAGATGAAGGAGAAGATGAAGTTTAGCTTTGATTTTAAACATTTTGACCCCCTGAATTATGCAAAAAAAACATAAAAACATAAAAAAAGATCAAAATAAAGTCATTGTCACATGATTAAATGATTATCAATCATCATTTAATCATGATTCCCATCTTGTGTCCCCTTGTCTTGTGTGGATTTCCTGTTTTACGCCATGTTTCGTAGTCCTTTGTAGTTTTTACCTTGTCAATCACTCAGAGAGTTGTCATAACAGAACTGAACTTTATGGTCAACTGAACCCAGATGTACACCAAAAACTCAAATGTGTCAACGACAGCATTACTGCCTACTTGAACATTTATTTTTCATCACTTGAGTTCTTCATCATTCAAGCTCTACACTCCCCTTTCAAAGGATTGAAGTCTGAGGTTTTTTTGTGCCCAAACTGAACTTTAGGGTCAACTGAACCCAGGTGCATTGAAAACTCTTCTTTGAAAGCAAAAATGTTACATCCTAGCACCCACTTAAACTTAAAAATCCAACTACAGACACTGAATGGCCATGGAAATGAAGGGAGACATTAACCCAGAGAGGGAATTGGAGGGCAGAAATAGGTCAAGAGCTCGGAGCGAGTCGTCCTCCAGGATGATGGCTGAAACACCAGGGTCTCGGCACTAGTGTCAGCCTCCTGCCGCTGAAGAGCAATCATCTGCTGAAATCTACTGCAAGTGGCAATCTTCCCCTCACCACCCACTTCATCTAGAGTCATTAAAACATCACTAACACAATACACACGCCACATGCCGCATGCACGGTGGGAGACGCACCCCCATGGGCCTGGCAGTTAACTCGAGAGTTGCAACAGGGGATGACATCTTATGACAACCCGTCTGACTGCTAGGTGCTATTTTCCCTGCTGAAATATGAAGTGTTGTCAGTGATGTGTTAAACAAACTTTGAGAAAGAGGGTTGCTTTGTTAAAAAAAAAAAAAGTTTATAATAAGGTTAACGAGCGGCTTTCATTATCAAACTATCGTGCCATGTGCCCACACAAACTTAATGATTTCACACTTAAAAACTGAGATTGACGATTTCACATACATTTTCAGTGGTGTGACAGGCCTTTCGAAAATGTGGTACACTTTAATATATTTATAGAACGACTACTAGTGCAAACTGAATGTAATGTTTTTGGACTCTTAATTGCATGTTGATACAATTACTGTAGAGGTGTGCAATCCAGTGGCACCGGATGCCGAGTGCGTAGGTTCACCCAAAATATAATTATCTGATACTAACAGCACGCAAATGTCTGTAATTGGAGATCTGTGTGGAAATTGGGGGAAAAAAAAACAGCCTATAGACACCGCAATGAGACCGGACCGAGGCTGAAAAATCAGCATACCTCTTTCTACAGCCTTTTCAGGCGGGAATGGGACAAAATGTGAATGTTTTAGGTGGGAGCGGGATAACATATTTTTGCAGAATTAAAAAAATCCATCCTGTGCAGATATGTGAAAATATATTATAGTTTAAATTTGTACTTAAACTTAAAGTGCATTTTTATATGTAGTTGCATAAATTTTGAAAAACGGTATATAGACACTAAATATACTTTAATGTAATTTCTACTGAAGGTGTTGTGTCTCAACGTAGTCTCAATTTAATAAAGTCTCAATTTAGTACCTTTGAAAAATATTTCCTTTAAATGTAATATTAACAAACAAGCTAAAATTAAGTACTTTATATATGCTTTAATATGTTCATCAACACATCAAAATAACAATACTTCTTTAAAACACGTCACATATTAAAACAATGCTTTAAAATGTAAACTAAAACTTTTAATTTGATATTAGAAAGAGATATCTCTTGTACACTTAATTAGCCTTTTATTTGAACCAAAAACTGGTTCACTGATTGATTTAGTGGTGGATTTTAATGTCATCTTTTTGTGTTGTCTCCGCCTCTGGTGTCACCAATGGTGGCATTCACAGCAAGCTGGTTTTTGATTTTGGATACAGTTATTTTACACAAAAATAAATTCCTTTTCATTTTTCTATTAACTTGAAAAGAAAATCTCCCAGTGAATAAATTGCTTGTTTTCCAAGAATGCTGCTTGTAATACAAAACTGAAACAGTCCTACCAACTGCAGACTTTAATCTTTCAAGTGCTTTTCTGGTTTTAGATGCAAAATCTTCGGCACATAACTGCGTTTCAATTCCTTCTGGGCAGTTTAAAATTGGAAGCATAGAAAATCCTTGAAAGATTAATTACTTGTGTGCCTATTCAACGCCAGCCTCCCTCTCACTAGCTCACAGAATGGGATGTTTGCTGCGAGCTTGCGTAGTGAGTCCTGTGTTATCGCAACACATGGGCCGCTTCCATCATAATGACCCATAATCTGCGGGTCATTCACACACGTAGGAACTCGAGCTCAATAATATGCACAGCACCCTACGGCGATGATTCATCAGAACAGTGCGTTTCAGATTGCTACCTTTTGTGGCTTTCATTCATTCCCTTTCTTTCATTCAAATCATCACAGCGGGCCTTATGACCTCTGAGGTCACTCCATTGCATTGGCGATGAGACTGTTACCATGTGAAGATACACTAAGCATCAGGCTTCTAAGAGATCTAGTAACCTGCCTAGACATTAGCATTTTAAGGCTTCATACAGAATGTACATGTGAATGCTGTTCATTGTTATGTTGGCTTTCCAGATACAACATTCTAGACAAAGCATTAAAAAAAATTAAAAGGTGGCCTACATAGCATAAGAAATGTTCATTAAAAATATATTTAAAGTGTGTAATTTCAGAACTAAACAGGATCGCTAAAATACACAGCTGGAACTGAATGCCATGATTGGACAAACATTTGATAGTCATATCATATTAATGCAATTATCTAATCAACCAATCACATGGCAGTTGCTTAATGCATTTAGGGGTGTGATCCTGGTCAAGACAATCCCCTGAACTCCAAACTGAATGTCAGAATGGGAAAGAAAGATGATTTAAGCAATTTTGAGCGTGGCATGGTTGTTGGTGCCAGACGGGCCGGTCTGAGTATTTCACAATCTGCTCAGTTACTGGGATTTTCACGCACAACCATTTCTAGGGTTTACAAAGAATGGTGTGAAAAGGGGAAAACATCCAGTATGCGGCAGTCCTGTGGGCAAAAATGCCTTGTTGATGCTAGAGGTCAGAGGAGAATGGGCCGACTGATTCAAGCTGATAGAAGAGCAACTTTGACTGAAATAACCACTCGTTACAACCGAGGTATGCAGAAAAGCATTTGTGAAGCCACAACACGCACAACCTTGAGGCAGATGGACTACAACAGCAGAAGACCTCACCGGGTACCACTCATCTCCACTACAAATAGGAAAATGAGGCTGCAATTTGCAAGAGCTCACCAAAATTGGACAGTTGTAGACTGGAAAAATGTTGATGAATCAATGCCACGAAGAATTAAGCCAATTCTGAAGGGGAAAGGTGGTCAAACACAGTATTAGTATGGTGTTTCTAATAATCCTTTAGGTGAGTGTATAAATGTTTATCTGAGTGTCACAATGTTAGCTTAGTGTGATGCTAAATCCATTTATTGTAATAAATTGTCAAGCCTTCACATGAAGAGCGGTATTGGCAAGTAAGTTGCTGCCTATGCATCTACATAAGCACATCCTGATTTTGCTGAGTTAGACACGTTCCTCTTTCAACATGTTTTATTTATCATGTACCCTACCCATAAGTTATCTCTAAAATCAGAGAGAAATGACAGGAGAATAACACTGATGTAGAAGCACTTGGTTGTAAGACTAAATTTGAAAATCTGTAAATTGTCACTGAAAAATGATTGGTTGATTGGAATGTTGTTCCACAATCAATGAAGATGTTGATCCAGGAACATGTTTAACTTGGTGTAATCAGGTTTTGTGTATACATACACTCATTTTAAATTAGGTGCATCTTAGTTAGGGTGCTACGCCTGTTGTTTTGGAACAGACCCATCCTATGACCAATAAGATTTAAAGGCACAGGGTTCAGGTTATTCACAGCCGTCAAAGAATTATAAATACAAAGGCCTAAAACAAAAGCCCTGCCCTGTTTAATCGCGCCCTGAGGGAACGCACATACAACTTAATGACAATACACAAACAGAGCTCATAATGAGGTTTTAGTGACTGGGGATGTTTCCAACACTGGTGATGAGTCTGTGTGTGTGTGTGTGTTTGCTTATCTCTGGGTGCTGCTGTATAACACTGGTTCGAGGAGAGGGGAGACAGCGGAAAGGGAACGCTGGTGTTACAGAGATAATGAGGATCTAGAGTCCGACGCTAAGCTCTTCAAAACCACACATTCACAGCTAATTAACCAGCCGCTTGACTCCCGTACACACTCGCACACACACATTAGCCACGGCTTCATTAGGTCCTTGTGTAGCTACGGGCCAATAGTTAGAGATAAAGTGCACGTTTTAGCCCTTATTTCAAATCATTTTGGAGCTGGCTATGTGTAAGCTTTGCCGCTGGCTTACGCCGACCGAGACGGAAAGACAAGGGAAAAAAGAGGACAAAGTGTCCCAAAACAGGTCGTTTTTCCCCCTAAATCAGTGCAGATGAGGGACAGCAGCTCCAGAATCCCTTCAGAGCTTGGTGCCGTCCATTGTTTGCCATCCAGCGAGGGAGGATTATACAAGGACTATCTGGGTTTTGCAAATGAGTCTTCCTAGTAGAACAATTCTTTCAATTTCATCTCCCGGTCTTGTTCGACACGCTATACAGCGAATTACTTTATCTACTTGGTCTTGCTTCTCAAATGGAGGCCCTTTCTGTTCAATAATATCTTCTCCCTAAGTGCAGAAGTTCATGACTGTTCGGTAGTGTGTGTGTGTGTGCAGGTGTTAACAGGCGGGACTATCAATACACTATCCTGCCCAGTGGGAGGCCAGCCAGTGAAACTGTAAC